GATTTCTAATCAATATATATATATATATATATATATATATATATATATATATGGTATACAAATGATGTTACGGATGTACGGTGTGAACGTAGAAAACTGGAACGCAGGTGGAGGAAAACTCGAACTATTTCTGATCGGGACAAGTAATGTGAACAGATTATTAAGGTTGATGAGCTAAAGAAACTGTAATACTAGTTTCTTCAAAGAAACGCTAACTAATACTACATCGAAGAATATGTACAGTATTCTTAACACTCTTTTAAACTGATCTGTTAATAAACTACTGTTTCAAATTTAGTTCTAAGTGATCGATTTGCACAATATTTTACTGATAAAGTTTCTAACATTAGGTCAGAGCTTGATACATTATGTAATTCATATATAGATATATCTCATAGACTATTGCATTTAAATAATAGGTCTGGGTTCTCATATCAATTTAGCTGTTGGTGACTTTGTTAGTAATTTAGATAACTTTAAAACTTTAAGTGAGGAAGAAGTTAGTAATATTATTACTAAACTCCCTAACAAGGTCAGTCCATTAGATCCCTTTCCCACTTGATTATTTATTTATTTATTCAACTTACTTTATACTGGATGGCACGCTCAATGCAAATGCACTGGTTTTCGTTGTACTCCAGTTATAACATAAAAAGTACAAAAGTGATAAAATGAATAGGAAAATATAAGGAAATTTTTTAAAAAGGACTTAATTACAAAATAGAGAGATTAATTATTTTAGAGCATTTTTAAAGGTATCTTGATTTAAATTCTGGAAATCCCTAGTTATGTTACTAGGTAGTTCGTTCCAGTTCATGGATGCTCGATAGTGAAAGGTCCATTTTCCTTCACAAATGTTCCACTGTGGAAATAAAAGATGATTATTTGTCTGACTTCGAGTATTTTTTATCATTTTGAGAAAAACAAACATCTAATGTCACAAGAAAGAAATCTTAATTAAATAGGAAGGTGCAAGTCCTTGAAGACATTTAAAAGTTATGAATAATAATTGATCTCTCCATCTGTCATTCAGAGTTCGCCAGTTTAACAAGCTTAAAATATCATTAATTGGTGTTCTAATGTCACAAGAAAGTAAAATTCTTCCTAAGGTGTTGAAGAGTGTGTTGATACACTCTTACTGATTATTACATCTATTGTAAACAATTCTTTAAGTAAAGGCTTGTCTCCAAAAGTCCTTCGTCAAGCTGTCGTTACTCCATTGATTAAGAAATCCACATTAAATCCTGATGAACTAAAAAATTATCGTCCCGTTTCTAACCTGCCTACTTTAGGAAAACTTATTGAATATCCCGCTGTTTTTAGTTTTAAGAAACATCTTCAAGATAACAAACTGAATGAAACTTACCAGTCTGCATATAAATCATCACATATCACAGAGACTGCCCTTATACATTTAAAAAATGATATTTTAATTCAACTTGATAAAGCAAAATTTATCATGTTAGTTTTGCTTGATCTTTCCTCTGTGTTCGATACGATAGTTCATGACATCCTTGTAAATCGGATGCTGAGGGAATTTGGTATTACAGGCTCTGCCTTAAATTGGTTTACTAGTTACAATCAAGACCGTTTTAGCAGAGTTGTGTGTACTCGGCGAATACTCTGAAAACCATGTTTTACGTTACAGGGTACCTCAAGGGTCTGTTGTAGGTCCTCTGATTTTCAATATGTATACTCAACCTGTCGCCGATATCAGTGATTGCCCCATCTGTGTCTACAAAAAACCTTGTTGTCATGTTTGATATCTAACTTAATATGAAAAATCATATTAGTCAGTTGTGTAGAAGTATAAATTTCCATCTTCGAAATTTGAATAGGATTCGTAGTTTTATTGATTCTTCTACATGTGCACATGCAGTAAGATCTTTAATTCTTTCTCGGCTGGACTATTATAACTCTTTGCTTGGGGACTTGCCGGTCTCTGATGTTCGGAGACTGCAAGTATTGCAGAATCGTGCAGCGCGTATGATCTTTCAGGTTAGCAGGCGCACTTCTGCGGCCCCACTTATTCGGGAGTTGCATTACCTGTCCAGCAGAGAATTGAGTATTAGATCTTGGTGCATGTGTACAATTGCCTGTACAACTCAGCTCCCGTCTATCTGAGTGATCTTAATTCTAAGTATTACTCAGGAGGACGAGGGCTTAGATCCACCCAAGACCATACTCGTCTCGCCATTCCAAAAACAAAACAATCTTTTGGAGATAATTCCGTTCTGGGGCCAAGACTTTGGAACACTTTTCCAAATAGTGTTTCACTGTTTGTGAAGCTTCTAATGTGCATTTTTTTTTTTAACTCCACAAAACTCATCTTTTTCTTAATCTTTCATTTTAATTGTCTTATATCCTATGTGCTTCAATTGTATGATAATGTAAATTAATTTTTTTTTAAATCTATTTTTGTACAACTTTATGTATCATTATCATTTTATAGATTTATGACATACTGTTACGTTACGGCTCAGAATAACTAACAGAGAAGAGATCACAACTTTTGTGTATTTACAAAATATATATAATTTATTTACAATTGTTGTTGTTACTGTTATTGTTTTTTCTTTGCAGAGGAAATTGAATCCATGTCCAAGAAAATAAAAAATTCAAGGATGCATAATGTCCATGTAGTATCAGAAGATTTTTTAGAAGATGTGAAAACTGGGGGCGCTGCACTCATGATCAGCAAACATAGTATCTGCGACTGGGGTTCCGATGTAAGTGAAAAGCATTGTCTATTTTAGGAATTTGCTAGAAAAGGAAATTCCAATAAATATCAAATTTATAACATGCCAATTTTATATCTTGTTCATCCATAGAGCATGACAGTGTACATGTCTCACTCCAATTTAAGACCCCTCTAGTAAAGACCACCTCTAATTAATGACCAAGCCAAACCAGTCACTCGTCGCAAAAATCGATTTTGAGTTATTAATACAGTGTTAGAGAGTAAAATAATAGCTATAAAATGATAAAAAAATAATTCAAATCGAACATTTCCTTATGAAGTTACATGCGTTTAAACATACAGCTGTTTAAAGAACAATATATGAGAAATCAGCCTTCAAAGTTTATGATTTTAGGCATTTCTCATGCAGAAACTATCATCAAATCCTTAAAAAGTGTTGTGTCAACATTGAAAATGGGGAAAATAACAGCATAGAATGATGTATAGATATGTAAAGATTAGTTTAGTGCAATAAAATAGATTTAAAAAAATTGACATTCCAGCATGTTATGGCCATTTTCTCTAAAACACGATTTGCGACGAGTGACTGGTTTGGCTTGTCTTTGCCACAATTAATAACCACTTTTCTGCGGCCCCTTTAGAATGCCTCTTTTATCATTAGCTGTTCTCTCCAATTTTCTCTCTCTTTAGAGACCACTGTAGAATATATGTGGCAAAGTTTGTGAAATCTATTTTATTGCACTAAACTAAACTTTATATATCTATACGTCATGATATGCTGTTATTTCCCCATTTTCAATGTTAAAACAACAATTTTTAACAATTTGGTGATGGTTTCTGCTTGAGAAATGCCCGAAATCATAAACTTTGAAGGCCGATTTCTCAGATATTGTTCTTTAAACAGCTCTATGTTTAAACGTTTGTAACTTCATAAAGAAACAACAGATTTCAATGATTCTTTTACCATTTTATAGCTCTCATGTTACTTTTTACCATTGTATTAATAAGTAAAAATCAATTTTTGTGACGAGTGACTGGTTTGGCTTGTCTTCGCCACATATAGTGATGTAAATGCAATTTTTGTTTTTAATAAATTTTGTTATAGATAGATTTTAATATTGCTATAGCGCCAGTTAAGGACACATAAAACAAATTATTAGATTATCACTCTTTTTAAACAAATTGATGAGGCGGAAGTTTTTTTTTATCTTTTTTTTTATCGAGTTTTTTGGAGAGGGGGGGGGGGTTGGGATTATACCCGGGGATTCCGGTGTGCATGAACAGAATGAACATGACATCGTTTTTCAAAGTGGCAGATGCATTTAAACAACTGCCTTGTGATTCAATGGCCTATCCAAAACTAGGCCTAGGTCTATATTTCGGTGAAAAAATCAGACATTACTCAAGCATCAAAGGGAAGGGAACACCCTAATTATTGTTATATAGTAGGTATGAGACGCTAGGCTTTGATTTTTACCTCGAGCTAGGCCAGCCTTTGGCTTAACATTTTTGATGTCGCAGGTTAGTTTTTGCCCAACAACAACCTAACACTCCCATCACAAGGAAGACTTGGAATGAATTTATGTATGCATTATGTAACAAGTTTTTTTTAGCAGCAAAAGTCTCTGGGGAACATGTTGACTATTTTTAGCCGCAGCTGTGGAACATGCGAGTATACCTGCTGTGAATTAACGATCCGATCAGCCCACTCGGCGGGTCTCTTTATTGATGGACCGCAGTGTCACCTATTTTTAGCCGCTGTTAGCGAGCCGTTTATTTTTGCGACAGTAACAACAAGTTTTATAGAATGGGCTTTGCATTTTCAACTTTACGGCGATTCCAGTGTCTGATCTAATGAATTGGAAGAGTTTGAAGTCTACTGAATTCGGAACCAATTCCGTTATCTTTTGTGAGCATTTGTTTTTTGCAAATTTGTTTTTATGCAGTTAAAATAGATGATGCAACCAAAAAAAAAAAAAAAGTAAAATAAAATAAATAAATAAAATTATTCCCTCATCAATATTTCTAAAATTTTTGATGCTAGCGAGAGTGATAATCTAATAAATTGTTGTATTTGCCCTAAAACAAGGTGTCACTTGTGCTTTACAACAAATTAAAAACAAAAATTAAATATGTATTTAAAAGTCTATAATGATAATAAGATGAAAAACAATGTATGACTTGAATCTAACAATATTCGACGGTGCACATCGTAAGATAATATTTTGTGTGTGTTTTGTGCGTGTTTTGTGTATATTGAATAACAATACAGTTAGTGGTGATGTTAGAATATTCAGGGGCAGATCCAGAAATGTCTGAAAGGCTGGGCCAAGGAGGGGAGGTGGGTCGAAAGTGGGGCCCATTGTGATAAAACTATAATACGAGTTCCTGGACATGTCCCCGTAAAAAGTTGGTGTTCCAGACGCCCAAAAATAACCTGAGACATTTCGGGCCATCAATTTTTTTCTTTTTTAGTTCCTATGCATGTAATGCAATAGGAACTATTGTAATCACTCTTGCTATTTCCTATGTTTTTTATTGTGTGTAGTGTGT